GGAAGGAGGAGAAAAAGATGCCCTCAGCAAAGCGAGCTCAGCCCTTCGCTTTTCTCAGGGAGACGTGAACACTGCAGGGTTATTTAGGCCCAGCTTTCACCTAACAGGAAATACAGGTTTGGAGAAACAAGTTAAAACATGGTTGCAAGAACACTGACAGACAAGTCCAGAATGTGAGGCATCTTGCAGAGCAACCTACCTGGTCCTTTCTAGAAGTCAGCTGCGACACAAACGCCCTCTTTCCAATGGTGGGAGACTGATCTGAGTCCAAGCAAACTGATTTCTAATCCAGACTGGACAAGCTACAGGGAGGTACCAGGAGATGACGGCCACCGTCTTTAGATATGTCCCTGCCATTGTGTTCATGGAGGAGAATGTTCCTACATGCATTTTTAGTAAATAAGCTAACTTATTTCAAAGGGCTTCAGAGGAGAAAGGGAAAGTGAGGGAGGGAGGGAAAGAAGGAGAGAAAGAGAAAGAGGAAGACAGAGACAGATACAGAGACAGAGAATAATCAAGCATATTTTTCCAAAATGTGAACAATGACTACCACTCTTTCACCATTTTTAGCGTATTTGAATTTTTTCATGATTAAAACTTGAGGTTAAAAGAGAAGCATGCAGATGATTTGTTAATGTGACAAGCAACCGCGCAGCTAATGCACAGCCCTCCTTATTCCGTGTGCCAGCGTTCAAGTCTAGTAGAAATGGTCGTTTTTATTTATCTACAATGGATGAGTACTGTAGAGGTTCACTGTCTGAACTGTGAAACCTAAACTACCAGGGCACCAGTTCCGATTTGCAGAACAGAAAACTTTGTTTTGGGGTAAGGTTGGTGGAAGGCATGTGCCTGTATGCACAACTTCACACGAATGTTCTATTGAATATACGTGTTATAGAGGATTTGTATTAACTAATCTTTTTTATAGTTTTGTCATTATTCTCAAGTTATCATACAGAAAGTTTACAATTCCGTAAGCCAGGTAAGGAGTACAATTCTTCTTGGACAATATCACCCCTTCCTTTGCTTTTCCTCAGTTTTGAATTAATCTTCTTTTTAATATAATTTTGTGAGAGAATGCTTACTCTAAAAGTTAGAAATTCCTGGGAAAAAATAGGAAGACAAAATAGAGCACCTAGTAATATTCCCTGAAAACTTTTACCTTGCAAGGTTATTGATGGGTTTTAATGTTGCTGAATCCACGCCCTTAAAGAAATTAAGGACACTTGATAGAAATTAGTGGACCCACAATTGACTTTCTGTATAATTTTTAATTTAATTTTAGTTAGCCTGTATTGAGAGCACAAAGGTGCTTTTATCTAATTCCATAGATGGCCCCAGTGTGCTCTGAGCACATTCCTCCCTCAATTGTATTTTCAGGCCTCCTTTCTCCTCCTCTCCTCTACAGATAGTGTGTGGCAGATTTCATTATGCGTGTGTGTGTGTGTGTGTGTGTGTGTGTGTGTAACATAATTCCATCTTCTCCACCCTCCCTGGACCCTTCCCTCTCCTCCTGCCCCATCCACAGATTCCCCTCAGACATTACCCCTATACTTTCATGAATCCTCCTCCTCCTCCTCCTCCTCCTCCTCCTCCTCCTCCTCCTCCTCCTCTCCTCCTCCTCCTCCTCCTCCTCCTCCTCCTCCTCCTCCTCCTCCCCCTCCTCCTCCTCCTCCTCCTCCTCCTCCTCCTCCCCTCCTCCTCCTCCTCCTCCTCTCCTCCTCCTCTCCTTCTCCTCCTCCTCCTCTTCCTCCTCCTCCTCTTCTTCCTCCTCTCCTCCTCCTCTCCTCCTCCTCCTCCTCCTCCTCCTCCTCCTCCCCTCCTCCTCCTCCTCCTCCTCCTCCTCTCCTCCTCCTCCCCTTCCTCCTCCTCCTCCTCCTCCTCCTCCTCCTCTCCTCCTCCTCCCCTTCTCCTCCTCCTCCTCCTCCTCCTCCTCCTCTTCTTCCTCCTCTCCTCCTCCTCTCCTCCTCCTCCTCCTCCTCCTCCTCCTCCTCCTCCTCCTCCTCCTCCTCCTCTCCTCCTCCTCCTCATCATCATCATCATCTTAGGTCTAGAGTCTACAGATGAATGAAAGCTGTGACATTTGAGCTTGGTTATCTTGCTCACCACGACCTCTAGCTCCATCCATTTCCCCAACATTGACATCAATCCGCTTTTCCTCACGGCTCCATGGTCCTATGCCATATTTGCTTTCTCTATTCGTCAGTTGTTGGCATCTGGGCTCATTCCACAGCGTGGCTGTTGTGAGCAGAGCTGTAATATCCATGTGGATGCAGATATCTATCATGTTTATTGATCTACACTCTTTAGGATATATTGGCCCAAGATACCTCTTATTTTTTCAAACTCCAGTGAGACTGGGATTTGAACTTTGTGCCTTGTGCTTGCTACATTGGTGTCCTACCACTTGAGCAATAGTCCCAACTAAGTTAGAATTGTTTTTAATTGTTTGGCTTTCCTTAGGAGAGCTGACAATGCATGCTAAGAGATTCACAATTCCTTACCCTGGAAATGAAGAGTTGTTGCTATCAACTTTCCACTTCTCCTTCTTGAATATGAAAAATGTCCTACGTGCGTCTCTAGGACTGGCTTTACTAAAACTGGCTTTTTAAAAAAATGTGTCATGCAACTGATTGCCAAAAAAACACCAAAAAAAACCACAGCACCATTTTTACAGTTCCTCATGCATACAGTATGTCTCAAGCTCTATGCCACTAAAATCACTTAGTTGGCCTGTTAAAGATATAGTTACAAATTGCCTTGTTAAATAGCAACTCCTTTTACAACTACTTAACGGTAATAAAAACATTCCAGCCCCACAGACATTATACACACACCATCCATCAACAATAGAGGCTGTAGACCTGCCCAGCCGAACCAGGATCAGCAGGCCAAGGTCAGCAGGCCAGGGTCAGCAGGCCTGGGCCCAGCCAAGCCAGGGTCAGCAGGCCAGAGTCAGCAGGCCCAGGCCCAGCCGAGCCAGGGTCAGCAGGCCCAGGCCCAGCCAAGCCAGGGTCAGCAGGCCCGGGCCCAGCTGAGCCAGGGTCAGCAGGCCAGAGTCAGCAGGCCCAGGCCCAGCCAAGCCAGGGTCAGCAGGCCAGAGTCAGCAGGCCCTGGCCCAGCCAAGCCAGGGTCAGCAGGCCCGGGCCCAGCCAAGCCAGGGTCAGCAGGCCCGGGCCCAGCCGAGCCAGGGTCAGCAGGCCCGGGCCCAGCCGAGCCAGGGTCAGCAGGCCCGGGCCCAGCCGAGCCAGGGTCAGCAGGCCAGAGTCAGCAGGCCCAGGCCCAGCCGAGCCAGGGTCAGCAGGCCAGAGTCAGCAGGGCCAGGCCCAGCCGAGCCAGAGTCAGCAGGCCCGGGCCCAGCCGAGCCAGGGTCAGCAGGCCAGAGTCAGCAGGCCCAGGCCCAGCCGAGCCAGGGTCAGCAGGCCAGAGTCAGCAGGGCCAGGCCCAGCCGAGCCAGGGTCAGCAGGCCCAGGCCCAGCTGAGCCAGGGTCAGCAGGCCCGGGCCCAGCCGAGCCAGGGTCAGCAGGCCCAGGAGCACGCACTCCACTTGGAAAGAACCAGGGGAAGTCTACTGGATGCTTGTCCTCACACACATCCCAAAAACGTGCCCCATGTTACCATCTGTGAACTCAGAGCTTCACACTTGCTTGGCTCGCTTTGCCAGCTCAGCCAGAGTCCCACCTGGCTTTTCACTGGTAGGCTGGGAATGGAGTCTTGCAGACTTTTCTGCTTGGCCTGCTCTGGAGCTGCCTTCCTCCAAGTCTCAGCCCTCTGGGCAGCTAGGATTGTAGGTGTGAGCCATCAGTTATTTTCCCAGTGCAGATGGTGGCACTAACCTGTAACCCCAGCTTTGGGGAGTTTCAGTCCAGCCTGGGATAAATAGCAAGACCCTGTCCCCAAGGGACAAACAAGTAAACAATCGACCAATAAGTTATTTTCAGCCAGACACTGGAAGTTCATGCTTACAATTCTAGCTACATAGAAAGCCAAGATCCAAAGGATCATAGTTCAAGTCAATTCTGGCAGAAAAGTTCACTAAACTCCCTCCTCCAGCAACACAATGAGCTGGAGATATGGCGCAAGTGATAGAATGCCAGCTGAGCAAGCAAGTTGAGCAAAGTTAAGGCCCTGAGTGTAAACGTTAATACTGGCAAAAAAGAAAGAAAGAAGAAGGGAAGAAGGAAAGGAGGAAGAAAGAAAGAAAGAAAGAAAGAAAGAAAGAAAGAAAGAAAGAAAGAAAGAAAGAAAGAAAGAAAGAAAGAAAGAAAGAAAGGGAGAGCGAGGGAGGGAGGGAAGGAAGGAAGGAAGGAAGGAAGGGAGGAAGGGAGGGAGGGAGGGAGGGAGGGAGGGAGGGAGGGAGGGAGGGAGGGAGAGAAGGACATGTATATTCCTCAGTCTCTAAATCATACATTTCTTTTCTGTAATCCTATTGCTACGGACAGATCTGGCCACACTCCAGATCATGGAGCAGCGTGTGCCAGGGAACCTGTCCCCTCAGCCGGACAGGCTTTCTAGTCCAGCCCACTATTAGCGACTTGTGGCAATGCTCTGCTCCTCTGCTCCCCCACAGCTTCCTCCACACACTTCAAGTGCCTGGCTTGGCTGCAGCTAGGGACTGTCTTAGTCTGTGGGCTGTGAAAGTTCTAAGCTTGTCAGAACAAGCGCAGATGAGAGAAGCATTAGGGGTAGGGCCTGTGAGTGCCGATCCAGGAAGCAGCAGAAAGCTCACAGCCAATGCACTGTAGCAAGCTAGCATGCATGCACGTATAGGTTCAATCAGAGCCAAGAAACCCCCTCCACTCCCTTCCATTTCTCCTGCACACCACTCTAAGGCTCCGATAGACGGGAGACACAACTACTTCACTTGCTTCCCTCCATGTAAGACTCTCTAGAGCCTGGCCATCGGGTATGACTTGAGCAATGCAAGGCAGTGACTGCCATCAAAACGTCGATAGACAGTCCTTCTAGAATCGCAAATTGCTACTTGTTCATCCACTTACGTATTCATTGACGTCTTCTTGAGCCCTTGCTGCAAGCCAGTCCCTGTGCTGATTGCATACCCGTGGTATACGAGAGAGTTTGCCGCCCAGCCTGATTGGATGGTGATAAATGTCAAAGAGCCCCAGAGTTCAGGAAGTGATGACTGCGTGAGATTTAATGGGTGAGTAGGAATTACATGGACTCACCAAGAAGGCGGGGGGGGGGGGGGGCGGGAGGGGAGGGGGGGCAGGGAGGAGTGTTCTAGACAGAGGGCGGAGCCTGTGGATAAAGTCTGTGGCAGGGTTGATGCTTGAGAGCAAGTGGACAGAAAAAATAAAAAGCCAGTATGGCCAAAGCACAAAGAAGTAGGAAGAGGCCAGAATGGGGGGCTCCTCATGATTCACTGTGGGCACGGGCACGTCTTGAGGCTTCTTAGGACCAGATGTGGAAGTGTTTGCCTGTTGTGTGTGGAAGGCTTTCCTTTGGTTCCAGCAGGGAAGGGCAGTGCTGTGGGAAAGGACTTCCAGGCGCAGAGGCTCTGCAGACAGTGTCACCCGGGAAGCATGTATTCCAACGCAGCCTGGCTTTCTAACACGGCCCTGGGGTAGCCTGTCTTGAAATCTTATTGGCCATCTACCGAATGCACCAGCAGTCCCAAGAAAATGTCCTTTCCTTACTAGAGTTCTTACACTTTAGAAATGTATGATCCTGCTGACGTGGAGATTCGCTCACTCACCTAAGGACAGACCAGACACTGAGAAGGAATTTTTAAAAATGTGTCATGCAGCTGATTGCCAAAAAAACACCAAAAAAACCACAGCACTGTTTTTACGGTTCCTCATGCATGCAGTATTTCTCAAGCTTTATGCCACTAAAATCATTTAGTTGGCCTGTTAAAGATACATCTATAAATGCCCTTGTTAAATAGCAACTCCTTTTACAACTACTTAACGATAATAAAAACATTGCTTCAAAGATGCAGGTTTCTGAACTCTTCGCCCAGAGTTTCTGGTTCAGTAGGTGTAGTGGGAGACACATTAATTTAGCCTTTCACAAATTCCCAGGCAGTATAAGGCTATCTGCTGGGGGAACCCATTTTGAGACTCACAGCCCCTGATGCATTGATCCTCATTGTGACTTCATCTTAAAACCACATGGAAAGCGCTGACAAGACCGGAGCAAGGTCTCTCAGCCAAAGAAATCAGAAGGTCCCAGGTGGCTCCAATGCGTCTACCAAAGACACACAGATCTGTATGTTTGGGGCCCTTGATAGTCATCCTTAAGTTGCGTTTCCTCTGCTTTTTGCCCATTTTATGTCCAGCGCCTTGTTAAGGCTTAGCCACAAAGTAATGTGGAGCTCTGCATCAGAAGTGATTTGGGAAGTATATTGTTTATTTAAAACTCTGAGTTTCTCTCTTAAAGGGCTACTAGCCCGTCTGTTTTCACTTTTTGGTCACCACACGTAATGGAAACCTGGAATGTCTGCTGTCTGCAAGGGTAAAAATGAGGAGCTTTCCCCACACCCTGCAACTGACGGTGCTGAATTCCTTGTGCTCTTTCATCCATCTCCTCCTTTCCCCTTCTCCTGCCCTTTACCCGTCCCATTTTCCTTTCCCTATCTTTTCCCTCTCCTGTTCCTTTTCCTCTTCTTTCCTGCTCTCTTTCCCTTTCTGTCTCCATTTCTATGTTCCTCTTTCTTTTCCTATTTCTTTCACTTTCCGTCTCTCTCTGTCTCTCTCCCTTCCTGCTCTTCCTCCCTCTCAAATGGAAAGGGATTTCCACTGTCTTCCCTTTCTCTTTTGTTTTGCAGTGCTTCAGGTGGGTGGTATCAAACCCAGGCCCTCACATAGACTAGAGAAGTGCTTAACCACTGAGCTACCACCCTAGCTCAGCCACCCTGCTGCAAAGGCCAGAATGCTGATCTTGAAGTTCACATCCTCCAAAATATGTCATCATCTCGATTTTGTTGGTGGTGGTGGTCAGGAGGCTTGAACTCAGGTCCTGGGCACTGTCCGTGGGCTTTTTAGCTCTAAGCTAGTAAGGCTAGCACTCTACCACTTTGAACCACTGCTGTACTTGTAGTTTTCTGGTGGTTCCTTGGAGATCAGAGTCCCATGGACTTTCCTGCCCAGGCTGGCTTTGAACTGTGATCCTCAGAGCCTCCTGAGTAGTTAGGATGACAGGCATGAGCCACTGGCACCTGGCTCATCTTACTTTTTTTTAAGCCTCATGTTCTTGGAGATCAACAGCGTCAGCTTCCATACCTGAGTGCTGATGAAACTCGTTACATAATATCCGGCAACACAGAGAGCAGCTCCCCGGGCAGAGTTTCTGTGCCTGTCCCGCCCACTCCAGTCTCAGCTTCTTCTTGCAAAATGAACAGCTTTCTCCTTGCCGTGCCCAACCCTTCGGGGGCCTTCCTTTCCTGGGGCAGCTCTGCTGTGCCCAGGATAAAAGGCCAGCGGCCTCCCTTCCCTCAGCTCATCATCTCCTACTGACACCACTGCTGGATAAACTTCGCAGCGGCTGCCCGGCTCCGGGGTGATGCCGTGCAGCTCTGGCATTTGGCCTGGCTCTGGCAGAAGCGGGGCAGGGTCTGGGTTCCACTGTGCCCTTGGTTATTTCCAAATCCGTGTGCTGTTGTTACGCTAGCTGGCCTACACACGTTCAAAGGGCAGCGTTGGCGCTGCAAAGGATCCGTGTATCTCTTTGTGGAGAAACTCATTTGGGATCATTTAGAATTTAAGAGACACACCACTTTTTCAACCCGGGGATGGTGATTTGGTTCACCAGATGCCAGCAAAAAGCTGGTCATCATCTCCGCCCCGTGGGGAACACATCCTATACATATATAAAAATGGGTGGACATGAAGAGTTGATAGCATATGTAGGTGTGTGCACACACACACAGTTTGTTATTGTGTGTCAATCACACAAACTAGTGGCTTCGTTGTGATATTTTCACCCTTACCTGTGGGGTCCATTGACTGAGTTTATATCCACCTCCTCTGGCTCCCTTCCCGTTCCCTGTAGTCCGTCTATGTTCATGCCTTTCACGTATGAGGAAAACAGTCAATGTGTGTGTGTGTGTGTGTGCGCGCGCGCGCGTGCGTGTGCGTGCATGCACGTGGCAAGAGTGATTGGGCTTGAACTTAGGCCTGGGCACTGTCCCGAGCCTTTATATTCAAGGCTAGCGCTCTTCCACCTGACAGCACCACTTCTGATATTTTGGCTGTTACTGGAGATAAGAGACTCTTAGGCTTTCCTGCCCAGGCTGGCTTTGAACTGCAGTCCTCAGATCTCGGCCCCCTGAGTCGCGAGGCTCACCGGTGTGAGCCACTGGTGCCCAGCTCATATTTGACTTTCTTAGTCTGCTTATTTCACTTCAATGACATCTAGTTTCTCCGTTTTCCTGAAATGAGGTGAGTGATACATTTATCTGTTTATGGACACTCAGGATGATTCCAGGGCTTGGCTGTTGTGAGTAGTGCTGTCAAATAACCACAAGTGTGCGGGTATCTTGAAGATTCCTCTAAGTACAGCTACTCAAGAATGGGGTAGCTGGACCCCATGGTAGTCCTATTTGAGGAATTTCCATTCTGATTTCCATACCAGCGGGGCTAATTTACAATCTCGCTAATAGTGTGAACGGAGTTCCCTTTCCTCATGCTCACCAGCATGTGGGTTTGTTTGGTTTTGTTTCCCTAACTGTAACCACTGTGGCTGAACTTAATTGGAATCTCCATCTTTTTCTTTCTTTTGGGGGAGTTCAAGCGGTAGAATGGTAGCCTCACTCAGGGACAGCACCCAAACCCTGAGTTCAAGCCCTAGGACTGACACAAAGGAAATCAAATAGTTGGTTACTAAGGCCAAAGTGTCTGTGGCCAGAAACTCAAATGGAAATTTAGCACAAGGAAAAGGCGCAGAACACACAGAATATTTGGTGGCATTTATTATTCACGGGGGGTTTCACATTCCTGGAAGGCAGGTTCCCGCGGGTCTCCCAAAAGCTCTTAAAGCGCCATGCATCATGTTGGACGGAGGTCAACTACAGAAGTAGATTTCTGGAGACCTATATTTGGAAGACCAAGAGATAAAACAATGCAGAAGCTTTGCTCTTAGAGCTGGAGACTAGTCCCAAAATAAGCTGAGTTTATTGCTAATAGTTGGGCGATACATTTTGTTCAAAAATAATAGCTGTTGGCTGCACGCATCCTCTAGAATTTAAAAAGAAAGCACCTTGGCCAATAAGCTCCGACAAAAGTGTTTGTACGTGTGCATTGCTGCATATATCCTGCTTGCATGGTGCTTTGCCTTCATGCTTCTTTCTAGGCTGTCATTAGAGAGGCCTACCCATCTCCGGTCTCCCCAACGCCATCATGTCCTTCTAGTCCACCGTGCCTTGACTATAGAAACTCAAAAATTATCTTAATCTAGTGGGATTTCCTCCCAATATGTGAGAAATGATACAACCCCTAGAACCCAGAGAAACTGTCCTCCTGTGGGAGTTCCTGCTGCCACATTGCCACAACTGGATGGAGCCGGTTTGTCTGTACTTCCTGGCTGGGTCACTAGAGGTGGATGTTTTTGATGGCCTTAAAACATTCATCCTAATCTCCCAAGAGCCTCGCTTTTCTCACAGGATGAACAGAAATCAATTAAGTTGATTGACAACTGGACTTAGAAACATTTGTTGAGTAAATATAGCCAGAATATGTTTTCTAAGCCTCAAACAACTCTGTAATCACAGAGCTTATTCTGCTTTAAAAATAAACCAGCACAAGGGTACATTCTGGTGCTCAGTCATCTGCTACCTTTGGTTTAAGTGAGTCAGTGAGGCATGATCTACAACTGACCTGGCCGGACAGCTGGTCTGGAGGCGCATCCTTCCAGACCATCCTCTGCTGCTGTGAGCCAGCGCTGGGGTCACGGCCTGCCTGAGAAGGCGGCCCTGGCCGAAGCCTCCAGGGTGCATTTACCAACGTGTGCCCGAAGGCCCAGGCGATAGAATAGGAGTTCCTTTCTGCTTATCCTCTTGTTTCTTCTTTGCAGTCGCATTTTTTCCTTCTGGGGTGTCTGGGATCTGATACTACA